GGGGGGGGTTGGGAACAACAGGGGGGGAGGGGTGAGGGGGGTTGTTGTTCGAAGATTTAGAAGGGGAACAACAATGGGGGAGGGGGTGTTGTTGTTCGAAGAACAGACAGGGCAGGGGAACAACAACCGGGGGGGGGAGGTTGTTCTCCAAATCGGGGAACGACAACCCCCCTGCCCCTCTATCGAAGGGGTATGGTTGTACCATGTTGTACCTACCTATATCGACGAATGCTCCCTGACTCGCACTGGTTTCGCTTAGCTCCCGCCTTCCTTTACGCCCCCCCCCAACTCTACCCCCGCAGAAATAACAAGACAGGCTCGGAAACAGGAAGTGTCCTCAATTGAAACTGGCTTGCTTTCTCAGATCTTTTCGGCACATTCCCCTGCTGCGTGTCCCATGTTTCCGCCGCCCACAGAACCGCTAGATCAGCTTCGGGGGCTTTGAAGGCAAGTACCCGATGCCTCAACAAGACCTCGTGTACTTAGCAGATGCTACTTCAGTACGCGACTGTGGTTAACCAAGACAGGCGACTTGAACGCAGTCCATTCCTTCCCAAACGCCTCTTTCAATGTTGCAAACCTGCGAGAAATGCGACACATGCAGGCCCATCACGCCACTGTCGCGCTTTCCCTTTGCCTTGTTCTGAACAACGCCAACAGAGTCACTTAGCTGATTCCATTGAACCTGACACTGTAGCACAGCATGCGCACAGCGCAGGTACAACACCCCCACTCGCAAAATCACAGTGACTGGGCGATGCCACTCCATCCACCTTTGCTTGCAGTGCCTGAACTGCTCCCAGCATGGATCAGCAGACGCGTGATTTCGGGTGCAAGGCAATGAATGTCTGGCCTGGTCGCAACTGAGCAGCTTTGCCTCCAAGGTTGTGATTGTTGTCTTTAGCCTCCAGCGTGCCACTTCGCAGTGCTGCGAATCTGCGCTCGGCTTCATTATTCTCCGTTTACTGGCAGGTACTTCGTCAACGAGGTCCCAGCTGCTGCCTGAGCGAGTCACCATGAGCTGAGCACAGGCCATGTCCGCAAAGAACATCACAGAAGGGCCACTGGGCGAAAGGCTGCTGACCAGCGCTAGCCTTTTCTTGCAGCTGCTGTTCAATGCTTGACACTTGCGCCTGAAGTGGCAGAGTCCATGGCCATATTCATCTGGCGATCAGTGGTCCAAGCGCTTGGCCTGAGACCCAGCCACTGCCGCCTTCAGCTGCTGAATTTGCTCAGCACCAACCTGAATGTCTCGGAAACTCGATACTCTCCTAGTGCCAGACGTTCAACCGGCTGAAGGCATGGAAGCAAGAGGGACGGCTTTCAGCCGTAGCCTTGTCATGCACGCTCTGCTCCAAGGAGTTTGCCTGGTTCTGGATTCCCATCCTCAGAAACAAGGCTAGACTGGACCCGGCCTTAGGAGCTTCGAAGCAAACGCCGGATCTACGAAGTCTCAGCGGCTCGCACAATGCTTTTCAGCTGCTGCATTTGACCAGCCCCAACTTTTTCATGAACTGCCTAATCCGGGCGGGCCATCACTTGGACCAAGCTAGGTTTTGGAGACTTCACGACACAATGTGGCTGCTGCAGCATCTGATTCTTCCGGGGTCTCACGCGCACAGTGGAGCCCTGAACACTGGGCGCTGCGACTTGGCCAGCACTTGGCATTTTCAAATCAACTTGAAGGCCCACTCGCTCGTTGGTTTGAGTGTCGTTGCTGGTTCGACGTAGTCTTGGGGCTCCAAAAAGCTGTGAGCTCTTGGCGTCGGCGAATCATAACGACTAGAATGCGGATGCAGACAAACTCTGCCATTCGCCTGATCCACGCCAGACAGCTTCGTTTCCACCATCGACAAAGCCTTGGATGGATCGAGGATGATCGAGGAAGTACTCACGGGCACAGCCTTTGCATCCACCGTGAAGTGCCTGCTTCAGCTGCTGAAGGTTGTTGTTGCTAGCTTTCTCCTGCCAAGACCAATCCAGAGCTCCACAAGGCTTTGGCTTCTGTCGAAAGCACTTGCAGCTGCTCTTTGTAAATGAAGTGCAGAGTCAAAGGGAGCATTGATGGGGAGAAGCTCTATTGCGTCGGCTTTTTTCCTGTGAGATCCTACCTTCAAGCCGGTGCAGCATAGACAAGCTCCAATCGCCTACACTTCCAGCATCCGGTCCTGCATGGATTGCTCGAACTCGCCCAGTTTGCCCTCCAGGGCCCCAAGGCTGGACTTGACGCCTAGCATGGGCACTTTTCAGATTTCAAGGCTACGCTTCTCACAACTCTCGACGCCTTGCAGAGCTGATGTACCGGCCTGAACATGAAGAGACGTAGGCATGTCAACAGAGAGCACACCAGAGCATCGTGTGCTAAGCGTCATCGTGAGAGCCTTCTCCCCCAAGCATTGCTGAACCTATAGCACTCAGTGTCAACGGCAGCAAAGGCATGCCCTGCAACCACCACAAGACCCTGGCTTGCGCAACATGGTTTTGAAGCGTCGCCAAGCTGTTCTCGGTCTGCTGCAGCTGTTTCACATCTACCTGAGATACCACCCAGCAAACAGACGCCCTGAAGCAGAGAAGAGGGCACAAACCCTGCGCCTTGTTCTGGAGCTGTGCCTCTGTCTGGGATGTTTTCTTCTGACACCTTGGCATGCGTGGCAGAAAAGCCAACTGCGCAGGGTTTCCACGCAAGACAAGTAAGCTTGGGGCCCTGATACAACGGCCTCCAGTTCTTCGATCCGACCTGCGCCTCCATATGTGGCCATGCGGCGGCTGACACGCTGACGTCCGCAGTGACTGAAGGCGCGCCGCAGCGCAAGTCTTGCTCCAGTCCCGGGACTTTGGCCTGGTCCATGGGGCGTGGGCCGCGTGCTGGCTAGACATTCCAAGATCAAGCGAAGCGCTGACCTGCACGACTGCGATGACGTCAGCAAGTTGGTCGAGCTGTGCCGTGTCCACTTTGCTGTGCAATGTCTGCTCGAACCTGGCCAAGCTGAACATGAAACCAAGCAGCAACGAACCTCAAGGTTCCAACTGCTGCCCAGTTTCTTGAGAAATGAAGGGGTTTCGCCGGGTTTGCTTGCGTGGCAAACATTGGAAGTTCATTCAAATTCAGAATGATGCTGACCTCTGCTGTGTCAAAGGCAATCACTGTTTGATGCTCATGTTCGGCGATGGTACTGCTACGAACAGTCCTGTCAGTCCGAAATTTCCATGGAAGCACGTCCTTGGCCTGTGCTAGCAGAAGCTACATCATGCGCCCTGCGCATGCTCTGCTGGTATGCGATATACAAGGATCTGGCGATGTGATCTTCTGTGCCGTCACCGACACTGATGAAGCCATCCTAGCTGGATGCTGCCATCTGTGCACAAAACACCTGCAGCTGCCTGTGCTCTGGGACGGTGTGCAAGATTGAGGCAGCTGCTGCTGAAGTGCGTCGGCAGTTGCTCTGCACTGGACCTAGCCACCATGTTAAGCACGCGGACAGCAACACTTCGCACGAGGGCTGAAACAGTGGTGCAGAAGACTTGCCAAGGATTTCAGCACGAGTCAGGATGTGTAGGTGGCTTGGTACGCTGCTGTATCTGCTGTGTTGTTGATTCGAATGCTAAATACACTCGGATGGTGGATGCATCGTAACATGCAGTGCCTCGGCATCAAGACTGGCAACCTCGGCGCAGCCACGAAAGGTGTCTTCACTACTTGACAGACCTTGACAGCGGGCGGCTTCAAGAAAGCCGAGTGCCAGGCGCTTCCCTGCAAAGCCTCCAGAGCGGCCTTGAGCTGCTGGGCCTGAAACGTTCAACACAGCAGAGTGCGTCTGTTTGCAGATTTTGCAGCGAGGCCAGGCCTGACTGGCTGTGGCTTTGTCGTGCAGCTGTCGCCCGAGGTCCGCAAGCTGTGCCTGGCCAACATCTCCAACACAGCCCGGAGACTTCGGGACCCTCGGGTTTCATGCTGTGCTGCCTCCAAGCTTATGAGAAGCGTCTTTTGCTGTTGGACCTGGCGAGGAGTTGGTAGAGGCATCTCGACGTCTCCGAGCATGCTAAGAAGTCCTCTACATGTCCTACATCATCAGGCACCACATGACCAGACAGGCCTGTGGTGCGGACGCCTTCAAGCCAGACCCACGAACACTCAAAGCAACATCACCTCACTGGCAGCCAATCTCCAAGACCTTGTCCTGAATGTCACGGACGAGTCCAGCCATGGACTCTTGCACGCTTGACAGGCAGACCTGCCAGGTTCACAAATGCAGACATGCCTCCTAGAGACGGAATGCAGCTGCAGAAACGAGACTCTGCAGTCCTTCACCTGTTGATGCTCCAAACTTCCGGCTTTTGATGCAACTTCCTTCCGTGCTGCACGAGAGCTCGGTTTCCGTCGGCAAGTCCAGTCGTTGAAGGAGGCCTGTTCCATTCCATCGAGCTTTTTCTCCAGCCGTGATGTCATGGCCTTGAGTCACCAAATTCCCAGATTCAAGCCGCACACTCTTACTCAGGCTTACTCGCACAGGCGCCGGCTTCCACCTTTTGAAGCTGCTCCATGCCTTGGGACACGCGGCAGAGCATCGAGGCACAAGCTTGTGCAGCAAGCTCGTGCTTCATAAAACCAGGGCGGAAGAGCCGGAGTTGACTTCGAAGGCAAGCGCCGGCAAGCGTTAACGATGTTTAACGTCGACTTCCATTGCTGCGCTTGCAGCCCAAGATAAGCAGGTTGCACAGCATAATCCCTGACAATCATTCGCAATCAGCCACAAGTAAGCAGCCTTGGAGAGCTCATGCAAAAATATGGCAGAGTCTCCGTGCATCCTCAGAGCCCTCCAAACAGAAATGTGAGAAGCACAAAAGTACACAAAAAGCAATCAAACTGAATCAAAGACAGAAAGAACAGCCAATGAATTGAGAGTATCACAGTTGGACAGAATGCAGTTGACAGTCACCGACTTGTTCGTCTCGCAATCCTTGTATCTGCTGGGGGACTGATGTGGCGGTTTTATCCTTGGGATCTGATGCTAGGCACCTGGCCAGCTCGTATATTCTGCTCTGCCGAAGAAGCCTCATCGTTGTGGTCATGGCGCTTTCACACGCACAGTGAGCATTTCTGCTGTTGCTGCAGGTCATTGTAGCTAGCTAGTTGCAGTAGTCGCTCTATTCCTGAAGGCCGGACGCGCGAGCCAGCATCCATGGCAGACATGTTGATGCTTTCCAACAGTTGATCCTGCCAATACGCGGCTGTCCAAACCAGTGCCCGGGATCTGCTACCCAAACTAGCATCACGGCGGGCTGCGGGAAATCTCTTGGTGACAGTCTGCAGCGTTGTCAATGACTAAGAGCTTAAAGACTTAAGGGTCCGTCCAGGCCCGTCTCATGTCATGCATTCAGTGGCCCATTCGGAGGATGCTTTGGATTGGATCTGACATCTTGCTCAACCTTCACTTCAACATTCAGCACCACCCTGTTTCGAGCCTGCTCAGCCCGAGCCCTGTCCAATCGACTTTGCTCATCATGAATGGAGTTCACCATCGTTTGCAACCTTCATTCTGCGAGCTGTTGCATGCTAGCCGAAACACTTGTGCTGGCAAGGTACTGTGTGATGCGATCTCCTGTGGCCTCGACGTGCGGGTGTAATCCACGTTCCGACCACGTGGCTTGCTTGCTGCCAGGCCTTTTCGATGGAATGCACCTTCTCTTGCTGATCGGCCTGGCCAGAAATCCTAGACTCATCTGTGATCTGAGTCACTGCTCGACAAAGGTCGGGCATCGTCGTGTCTGTACAAGCAAGCCGGTGGTGCCAGCTTGCGCTCCAGCTGCTGGCCCTCACACTTCTTGGCGCTTGCACAAGTCTGTGCAAAACGCGGAATGTACGCGTCCGCGCCTTCTCCTGAAGCAGCGCTTCAAGACTGGAAACCTGCAAAAGCGCGACCAATTGCGTGGGACCAAATGCACACGGGTCTCTACACCCGCACTCGCTTCTCATTTCAAGCAGAGCCTTGTCGGACAGCCTCTCCATGTTCATCCCCAAATTCCGAACCTGACCACCAAGATCCTGCCAGCACCTACTTTTGTGCTTCGAAAGCTGTGTGGTGCAAACCCAACGCCTCTAGGCTGGGTCCCACGTGTGCGTCCTCAGATATGACATCATGGCATACAAGCCTTTTACGTTGAGCATGCTGTGGGTATGAACTCTAAACAGTGGGAACTTCTTAGTGCCCGGCGATCACTACGGAGCAGAATCGATTTAAGGCAGTCGTGACCTCATCTGCAGTTGCGGCGACGACCTCGGAGACATCTCGACGCTTCAAGGAGCCTTTTCTTCCGTTCCAGCAACACGCGAGGCCCAGGCTGCGTTGTGGGACCTGCGTGCTGGGTTTATGGCAATTTCAGGAGTGCCTAGGACATGATCACGATATAACACGATCCTCGGTGGATCCAAGTCGCCGGCGGCATTCCCAGTGTGATTTTCGAGTGCTTCTGGCAACGACAGCAGCCAGTGCGTCAACACAGGGGAGGCAAGCGGTTCGAGCCAGATGCTGCTGAAAACTGGTCCAAGAAGTCTGGACTTCACATTGGCTCCACTTTCATCAGTGTCGCCTGCGGGTGCAATAACTGTGTATCGACTGTTGCGAACCAAGTCAGTAGCTCTATAACAAAATGGCTGCATGATGGTATGCACCACAGGGACTGCAAAAGTTCGTCCTTTCCCCGCAATTCAACCGTCCGGACTTGCCATTCCTTTCCCGAGTGCAACCTGGCACAACGATTCACATCCTGGAGCAAAGAAGCGCAATTCCCGCTTCTGCGATGCTGGGTGCCGTTCTCTTCGCTTCTGCCTTGCTCCTGCCCATGCGAGTCACTGGAGAGGTTCCAGCTTCCAGACACCATCGTAAGGCATCCAGACACCCAGGTGTGAAGAACATGAAAGGTGGTGATCTCAAGCTGCATGCGAGGGGTTACTGCAGGGGGTGTGTGCAAGATCTTACAAAAGCCGGCAGCCTGCCCCTCCAGTGCAAGTGTCCGCCCCAAAGCACAGGGATCGTGACTTTCGCACCTTCGTGTGGGAAGGCTGAAGCTCTCGCTTTCTGGCCTGCCACAGCAACTGCGATCTGAGACTAAACCGTGGACATCTCAAATCTCCGAGCCTCGGCAAGCCTTCGCTCGTTGGCACCAGCAAAATGGAGCTGAAAACCACGCTCCCGGTCCTGCGCTGGCACAGTAGTCGTCTCATTGCCGTGCCGGCTGAAACAAGATGAACAGGACTCCTCCAAATTTTGTGAGCTTTGACGGACTTGCAGCGCCTCACATTGGCGCTTGTACAGTGATGGACCACCCCTCCATCCCCCTTTGACGCTCTTCACAAGCTTCAGTTCTTTGCCCCCTAGTATCACAAGGCCCCCAAAAGTATTTATTGGTATCCATTGTATCCTAAGCCGGAAGGAACATTCAATAATTTGGGAAGTACTGAAAAAGAAATAACGAGAAGGCCAGATCATCAAAGTCGAATAAAGGAAGGCTCAGACAGACCGACAGACAGACAGACACGCAGGCAGGCAGACAGGCAAGCAGACAGACAGACAGACTGAGAGACAGACGGGCACACAGTCGTGCCTCGTTTGCGGCAACAAGTCATACCAATTCAATACTTCTTTCGGATTTCGCCTCTCCAAGGACTGCAAGGACAAAACGCCACTCTCGAGGTTGCTGCTGCAGAAAAAGGACAACAAGGCCGTCTTGCTGCGTAACTAGTAACTGGTGGATTCACTACCCTTGGTTGCTGTCGGGGCTTACTTGTCATGCATAAATGCAGCACCCTGCGAGTAGTAGTAGTAGTCGTCGTCGTCGTTGTAGCAGTAGTAGTACAGCAGTAGTGAGGGTAGCATTGACAACAATAGTGTTAGTGGTATTGCTATCAGCATGATTATCATTATCGTTAGTGTTGTTATTAAATAGGGGGTGGGTCTTTAATTTTCACGGGCAAGCAATTAGTGGCTTCACTATCGATTTGAGGCCTTTGTTTGACGCTTCTTCTCCTCCGCCTTGTACTGAAGCTTTGTCCGCTCCAGCATAAGCCTTCAGAGCGCAAGTCTTTAAGCAATGCTTTGTTGGACAGATGCGACACGAGGTTTGCAAGCGACTTGCTCCACATTGGTCTTTTCCATCAAAAATCGCAGCAAGTTCTGTTTGAGGCCACGCTGGCCGGCACCAAGCCGCCTGGCAAGATCACAGATGTGGGTCAAGCACAATCCAAGGCAGTCTCGACGCACCTCTCAGCGACTGACCATGCGACAGCAGTCTCTAAGCTGCCGAGAGCAGTATCTTGAAAACTGTGCACGCCTGTGTTTCCCTCGGACCGCACTTAAGGCAAACATCCGATACTCGGATGTTGCTGCAGGTCATGTACAATTATACAAATAGCCGGTGAGACTGAGTCCAGCTTGTGGCTGTTCGTCATTTAACAGGAGACAGGCTGTCCAGTACTGTCTCACCAAATATGTCGCCGCCGAGAACACAGGTTGAGATTTGTTGGGTGCTATCGTGCTACCCTAGGGCTGATAGAGCTGTGTCGCCACTGCGTGCGTCTCGGGCTCACGTTGTTCTCGATCAGTATGCTCGAAGGAATCTAGAAAGATTCGACAGCTGTCAGAACGAGCTAGCAGCACGACTCAGCTAACTAGTATTATGGTGGTTACAATCAACTCAAGCTCACGCTGCGGATGGGTAGAGGGAGGTGCGGTGGTGTTTGTGTATGTTAAGCCAAACAGAGAAACAGAGAGAGAGAGAGAGGGAGCAAGGGAGAGAGAGAGAGAGAGCGAGAGGAAGGGAGACAGTTATGGCTTGTGGCTCTCGAGCCACAAGGCAGGCACTGCTCATTGAGTTTAGACATCCACGCAAGTTTCACTCGATCAGTGTCTGCCTAGTCGGCTGATCCATAGTGGTAATCTCCTGTACTCGGTGCGATAGTACCTGGAACGGCTTGGTGCTACACCGAGAAGCATCTGACAAGATTCAACCCAAAAAGCAGATGCACCTCTTCAGAAGCTTCAAGGTGTCGCGCTCTGCACGCGTGCAGAGCTCAAGAGCTGGAACCGCAACCTCCTAAGTGCAACTCTGCAAAGGGTTTCTACATAAAGAGAAAGGCTTCAACGGACCCATTGACAGGCCTTGGCTCTGACATTCCTCCTCTCGAAAACAAAATCTGGTGGGAATGGCCTGCACAGAAAATCTCGCACTTCCCTTCACACTGCGTGGAAACACAGCCTGAGTTGCAGGAACGCAGCAAGTCGATCGTAGGCCTCACGCACTCCTCAAAAGAAGCCACGCAGCATTCTACAACTTCTGTGCTCGCATCAAGCAGTCACATGATCGTCCCCCTCAAAAAGGTATGCTCACTCACATCCTTCTGCTGACTTGTCTCCACTTGCTCCGACAAATCTCTGGTCTACAGAGTCTCGGTGTAGCATGTGCACCTGAAGCGCCGATTTGTGCGATCCAGGTGGTGTTCTGCGGATTACTAATACAATATAGTGGCATTACTGCTTCGGAGCGGCTCGCCTATCTCCCAAAAGTCGAGTGACACCCTCTGCGAAAAACGTGAAGTAAGCACGTCTGCGGCTCAAGTTGTACCATTTGTGCCTCGGGTATCACGGATCACTTCGACGACTTCACAAGCGCATGCTCTGCAGCCCAAATGCGACAAGGAAGTTGGCTTCGAAGCGGCCACAAAGTCTGATAAAGCAAATTCACGCAGCGGCGGGCGGGCTGGTGCATCTTTGTCACCTGCATTCCTGTACCGCAGCTGGTGTGACTCCAGCTTCATGTGCTCTTCATGTTCGGGATGTTAGTGTTAAGCTGGATTGGATACACGGTGCGGCCACGAGGCCACCAATTCATGGTGTCACCGTAGGCAGAATGAAGCCATCGGATTGGATCGCAAGCCAAGAGCACAACTTTTGCTGATGGGACCAAGGACACCTAGTCTGAAATCACTGAGGGAAGGGAAGAAGTGAATGTCCAAGGAAGCACGGTCAATCATGGTCCATGCCAGGTGGCCATCTTCATGATGATCCGTTGAAAGACATAAACCGGATTCCTCTCACCAATTAGAAGCGCACGGCTTGGGCCTGCAGGCAAGGTATGCGAGGCCAGACTTCGGGCCTGCTCAGAATCACCGTCCCTGCCATTGCCTTCGGGTTCTTTCAGCGGGCCGATGAGGTCCGAATCACTGAAACCTGGGGGTCTGGCACCACCCAGGCAGCATAAACCTTCCAGTTCTCTTTGTGTTGGTACAAGTGGGTTGAACAGATTCTCTGACGATGCTGTGCTCCTGCATTGAACCGATGAATCAAATCTGCAGGCGGAAGAAGTCGAGCGCCGACCTGCCAAAAGAAATGGCCGTCCTACACAGCACAGGCCGATCATGCCAAAAGACAGCACTTATCGAGACAAGGCGAAACAACGACCAACTCTCTGCACTCACAGTACCCTGAAAGGAAGTCCTGCGCATTCTGGTCATCGGTATTACTTCGGGCATCCATCGCTGCGGGCGGAATGAACTGAACCTCAAAACTCTGGACAGCTACCACAAGCCACTGGAATTCCTGTGCATCTGCACAAGGCCGTACCAACGTCGAGCGATTTTGACATGCCAAGCTGGCCCCTGGGTCATCAAGACACGTTGCTGAATGCAGCTCGATTTGGGCTTCTACATCTATGACTGCAACTTTAAATCCTGCTAATTTAATGTCAGCGAGCGAGCACTAGTCACTTGTCCGACTTGGGAATCATGGCGGGACACTTCCCAATATGTTTAGGAAGGAGCCAGCAAGATGAAGGGGGAACCATGCTGGAATTATTTGACTCGGGCTTGCACTGTTGAGGTTCTTGGTCAATGGTAACAACAAGACACTGCAGCTTGACAACAAGGTGATATAAGGTCTGCAGCTCTTTGAGGCATGACAAAAGGCACCGTGCCAAGAGCTGGTTCGAGGTCACAGGGCTCAGGGCGTGGCTCCTGGATGTCTGGCCATGTTGTGAGACAACGAGGATGTTCCGCACTTCTCAAAGCCAGCCAAAACCTCTCGGCAGGGCTACGACTGCGCTACGGCATCAGAGCTACAGCCACACAGAAGTGACACAGTCGGCCAAGGTGCAAAGTCCAATTTAAGATGTCGCCAATGTCCAAGTTGCACAACCAAGCTCTCTGTGAGATTCCAACCGGCTCCGTGGTGCTTCTTGCTCAACCACGATTGGACCTAGAGTGAAGCTGCGGTCTTGTCACGAAGAAGCGGTTTGCGTGAGGGTCCTGCCTCGCGAGGGCTACACGTGTTCGCCATGCAAAGTGTGGATCCTGGCAACCTGGCTGACGAAACTGACACCTGAGCAATGTTGAAAGTTCAGGGACGAGTTACATCCAGCGACAGTGCGGCATAGTGCAACAAGTGTCAATGGTGAAAACTGGTGATGCAATGGCACCTCCCATAGCGTGCCACCAACAGAACTACAGTGGTCCCAGAATCTCGACATGTCCTCAGCTCGGGTAATTGCGGCGATTCTTGTGCGAGCAGTCGTCAGCTTCATCTCTGCAGCAATGCACAACATTGATTGCGGACCACAAGTTGGCCAAATATAAGACGTTTGGGCAGCGGCGTTGAAGATGTTCTCATGGGGAGACGGGCTGGGACTGTCTATCGGCCACCTCGGATGTCAGTTGGGATGTGGCGCTCGAGGCTTCACGAAGTTGGGCGGGACGCATAATTTCCTCCGCCGGCAAAAAGTTTTGCGGGTGATGGTCCAGGAGCGGAAAACCGCAGCGCCGAGCTTGGGATCCTGCGAAGCCAAACACATCCAAAGCACCCGAGCCGAGCCGCGCTTCGGCCCCGGGCCTGCAAACATTGCCAGGACTCGCAGCCACATGACATTGCCATCACCGAGATGCCCTGTGCAAGTTCGAAACTTTTTCGAGATCTGTTCGACAGTGCTGTATGTTGAATGTAACAGGCAGTCACAACGACATGTCGTTGAAGCTTGAACGTGTGATGCGGTCGCGTAATCTCCAGAGCCAGCTTAATCTGTGCGGGACAATGCACCCATTCTGGCAGACTGCCGGCCATCATGACTCCGCCCATTGACAAATTCAATCACATTCACAGGGTTTAAGAGAATGAGCCACAGGCTTCTTGTAGAGCTCATGATCCTCTTTGGAATCAAAGCTGCTGTCCAGATCCTGCCAGGATAAATGCACCCGCCCGCCAGCACACCACTGCAGCAAACGGCGCAAACGGTGCCGTGCGCCCCGCGGCGCCTCCTTTTGCATGTCGGTCTTGTCGACCTCAAGCTCTCTCACATGCTCTTGCTTTTCTCATTGCTGGATGTGCTTTTGCTGGTGCACTTGAGCTCACTTGTCACAGTTGGACTGAGCACTCGGCGGGTCGGCAGTAGATCGCTGGCTGCGTCAAAAAGAGCAGGCAGCCGGCACATCCCTACCGGCAGAACATGCGGTAGATCCTACTTGCCGAGGATATTGTAGAACGTAAACGGAATGTGTTGTGATGAGACGATGTGGTGGCATGTTGCAGTCGCAATCAACAGTAGCTAGACTGGAGGGTTAGCCACCTTCCTGGGCCTCTCTTCTCGCACATACTTCAGCCACATCCTAACTGACTGCTGAAGGCTTGTGGGTTCACAGCGGAGAATGACACTGACTAAAATGACTGGAGACCTCCCCCACGGGTCTCCCTGCCCCACGATTCTTCCGCTGCTGCCCTTGTCAGTCGGCAATCTCCAACGCTAGTCCAGCAGCAGCGGAAAAAGCCCCTTTCAGCAATACTGCAGAACAAAGTTGCCCGAAGGCTGACTCATGAGAAGGAGCTCTGCCAACGCGGCACTGAAGCATGATTCGGCTTTGTCAAGGCCATCTAAACACCACGAAATGCAAGCTGGGCATAGCTCGCCCCAGTGAGGGAAATCTTTGGTTGCTCCAGGTCCTCTGCAGTCGTGGTACTGAAGCATTGATGCGATGCAAATCAGGTGTGACGTAGTACGAGACCACGGGACAGCAGGTTGCGAGGGACTGGTGCAAGTGACCTTCCTGTGCAAATCTCAGGCATGCAATGCCGAGACCAAGGACTCCTTGCATTGCATGAGAAATACAGTCAGGATACGTTTGGATTGTGTAGCAGTGGTCTGGCTTTGGAGTCGGGACTGCTCCGCGATGTTCCGCGATCCTGACCGTCTAGCTCGAAGCTGCACATCCTGCTACGGTGCCATGCCTAATCCCCGGCACAGCACACAGTGGGACTCGAGAAGCAAAATGACAGATCATATCAGGTCAACGTCTCATGAAGTCAACGTCTCAGTGTGCCGTGAAACAGCTTTGTACAATGCCTACACCTTCTGTGAGGCAGTGGTTCAACCTTTTCCTGCCCGCTGCAAGCTAGCCATGTATATGCAGCTCTCCTCGATTGAGACTGGCAGAGCTGATCGGATCCGGGCAACATCCTACAGCAAGGGAATTGGGCGACAGAGTCGCAGGTGACTGTGCCACCAATGCAAATTCCGATCTCAGGCCAGATGACAGACATTCAAGTGCACTTTCAGGTGCTCCTGCAAGCCGACTTTTATTAAAGTCCAGAAGCGTGTGCAACTGCAATAGCAGCCCGCCCAAGCCTGAAGAACTTGGTTCGAGTGCTGCAGCTTTCGTTGTGTTTCCTGCGACTGCTCCAGAGCCTGTCGCAGTGACTGCACCTGCCCGAAGCAAGAGTTGTGATTGCCACAGGGCAGCCCAAGCACATTCAGCATCCGTTGAACGAGCAAGATAATGCCGAATCGATCCGAACCGAATGAAAGTCCCGGTGCACGGACTTGCCTCACTTGAGCTACCTTCAAGCTTGCGACATCGACCGGCCAAGTGATGAACCTGGTCAAGAGCGCACTCCTTTAAAGTTCTTGCACGGGCCGTGGCCACCTACATCACCGCATCTCCTGAGTCCTGAACAGCCTTCAGCAGGACCTGAAGAGAACCAGTGTGGGTCCCGAAACACGTGAACTCACGTCCCACACCGTCCCACCTTGTTCGTGTGCTGGAGGCGTGAGCACGTCGCCTAACTGCGCTAGGCATGAGATGCGCCCCCCCCCCCCGCCCCCTCACTCCTCTCGGCCTCTGCCCTGCCTCTGCCTCTACAGCATTCGGGCGCAACTCTTCCCGTAGTTCTTCTGCCTGACGGCGGCTGGCTCGTCGTGTGGAAGCGCTGGTAGTGGTCTAGCAATTCAGACCGAAACTGTAACGCTTTTCCGACACTTGCCGTGGTTCAAGTTCAGTCCACCATGCCCACAACTCAGAGAGCCCCGAAAGCTTACGTCGACAGAGTTACGACGTCTTGCAACGTTGGCTGCAGGTCTTTGGTGGCATTTTGTCAACTTGCTTGTCGAGTCCAGAGAAAGGGGCGTAAGTAATTCATTCCATCCCCGAACCGTCACAAGAGACTGACATGTCAGCCGAGAGATCCACTGCGGTACATGTTTGTCGCCCACATAAACCTTACGACTGAGTCTGTTCGAGTTCCGCATGGAACTCCTGCGCCAGGTCACAACCTGATGATCGACTAAGTTACATATGAGGCAACCAACACACTACCGCATGGACAGCAGCATCTTTTTGGGCGTCGCCAGGGCTGTCATGACTGCAAGCAGAACGATGCTCCTCGCAGTCCTGCTGTCTGCCTAGCCTAGATTCCAGGGATGAAAAGATTGTGACGGCAAGACTCGTCCCCCGCCGTTGCTGGGACTGAATCGCCGTCTTCTGCATAGACAAATTCCCTGGACAAAGAATTCTGTCGCAGCTTGGATCTTGGATCGAACTGCCTGATTGGGCTGCACGTGCATCGGTATTGAGGCGAAAGCAAGCCCGAATCAGGCACTCAAGCTAACTTTGCCTTGCTTGCCAGAGGGACCTTCGATGCGAGAACAACACAATATCAACAGGCTTTGGCGAGTTAGTACGGTGTAGCCATGCACTGCAGTGGATCTTCGTACTGCACAGTCTGATACAATGACATCACCAATAGCAAGAAGGAACGACTCGAGTTCAGAAACCCCGCCTTTTGATGTATTCACATTCAGCGCTTGCACATTTGCAATGTAGGAGAGGATCGCAACCCACACAACCTTCAAAACATGACAGACGTCTCGTTGTCAAGAGCTATGTCCCCGAGCAGACTATGCCTCGGCAATGTCGTTCCACAAAACCTTGAACTGAATCGGCATGAATGGGGAATACGTCACCTTGATACTCACAAATCAGTGGAAGTACTACAACATCGGCACAGGTTTCATGATTCACTCCAGGATGGTTCAGCTGAATCGCAGAAGCTGAGGACCAGACTAGGTGAACAATCGGCCAAAAGCGCCAACTGGAGAACATCGCCGGAGGCACGGTTCGTCGCATGTGCGACATGCTTTCCTGAAGGGTCTTACCTGCTAGAATGCCCAGAAGTAGCGCGTACGCCTTGGGTGCGAAACAATGCGAAAGAGCTTTGGACGCGGAACTTGGCAGATAGCATTGGCAGGGATGCTCCTTTGCCTGGTTGGCTCAAGGACTGAAGCGGGGGCTTGCCTAGCTTGCTGGCTGACATTAACCATCAGAACGAATCCCCGACCCTTTATTAAGCCAAGCTGCAGCGTTCAGGGTTGCAGAGAACAGGGTCTGGTCCATGGCAACTTTCGCCACAACCGCTAGGAGACAATCTCCATTGCTAAATAGCTGGGAGAATGGTCCTCACTAAGACATGATGCACCAGGGTACTTCAAGGCCTGCCTTTTGCATCCTCGCTGATTGCAACCACTTGCACGCACTGTCCCTCTGGGTCCTTCCAGGAAGAGAATCCAAAAATGTAAAATTGGCCCATGCAAAATCAAACCTTGGTCCAACAGGAGAATTCCTGCAACCAATATTGGTATGCTTCTGCACCTCACCCGAAGCAGTTTGACGCGCCTGCCTGCCGGTGTGCACCGACAATAAACATCGAATCAGCTGGCTGGCGAGGGGTCGCGGTCGCGTCTGGCTGTTGGGGCTTGGGCTGGGTGGCCACTAGCCGTTGGATTCCGCACGGGTACATTAAAGTCAACAATTGCAGGGCGAAGCAGCACATCCAGATACGGCCAGTGACCTCCCTCACTCTCGGAGTGGGGATGCACCTTTGGGTCGCACAAGATGCTGGCCAGGATGATCGTTCAGAAGGACCTACTCTGGCGGAACGATCGCCTGAGTGACGGGAGTCCTCTGCAAGGAGTTGCCGCGACAGAGAAACACCGCGAGAGCAAATGTCAACTGGAAGGGCGAATCGAGCTGCCAGCTTCGTCGGTCAAAATTGATCGAGGTGTCTCCAACCCGAAACTCGTCAAGAATACAACAGCACAGTGTAGCCAGAAGCCGCATTTAGTTTACTACCCAGTGTGAGATGACATCATCATGTAGAAGAACTCCAAAAGCATTTGGTCTGGCATGGTCTGGTCCGAAAGCAACATGCGATGTACAATGTACGACTGTCTGCCGTGTTAGATACAAGCAGCCGGTTCCAACTGCCAAGTCGTCCAGGCTTCTCCGTTACAGGAAGCTGCGAACTTGACGCTCTAAGGACATCTTTCAGATGAATGGCATACTGAATGGCATGGTATGGACGGACAAAACCAAAGATGCGGGTCGAATTTCGCACAGCATCGCATAGCTTCAAATGAACGGCTCAGCATGCTTTGTCTGGACGTTTGGTAGTAGACATGGTGCGTCATGCTTAGAAACATAGCACATCGTGATGTGAAATATGCGAGACAACATCGTACTATGATGCTAGAGCCCCAGGAGCGCAGGCAATCCTGCTTTGCTTGCAGGCTGTCTCACCCTCCATGGGGCAGTACAGTGAGAGCGCACGTAGGCAGTCCACAGCTTCAAGCTCGTTTCCTCCAAATACTGCACAAGCGGGTGCTTCAAAATGACATGGCATCATGTTGTCATGTCCCTGGCCAAAGTCTGCAGCTCAGCTCAGGCCCAGACCCGTGATGCCATTGTGCATGCATCGGCAAATGTTAATCACAGGCTCGCCTTCTACTCTCTGTGCGATGAGATCGCCCAGCACATAAGCCACGCCTACAACTTCCAGTGTCGGCAAGCAGTGCGAGAGCGATTATGACGCCACGGGTAGCACTGCAGAGGCACTGCACACTGCACTGCACACTGCTGTTGAACCCTCAAAGCCTGGCCTGAAGTCAAGGACTTGGCCGGCACGGGTTGTACAACCACAAAGTCACCATAGATCTCGAGCATGTCAGAGGACACACGCTTCCACGCAGCCAAACACTGTAGGATGGAGCGCGAGTTCATAACACAGAAAAACCTCACATTTGCTTCAGGCTTTGTCGGCAGGCTTGCGGCTTGCGGCAACATCCAATTGTGACGAGGCTGCTGCTATGCTAAGCAGTGACAGTGCTGATCATATCCCATAGTAAATACAGGGCTGGTGCCGCATCAAGAGGCTGAAACAAAGCAAAGATGATGATAGCGTCCTGGCGCAGCATCAGGCCCGTGCAAAGAAGGATGACAGCCATCAGCATTGGTAGTGTGGTCTGATGCTCCAAGAACCTTATGTATGCCCGCGGGCACCGGCACGGGCGATGAGACGAATCAGAGGCAAGTCTTGAAATCGTCTCTGAGGGTCTGCTCTTCAAGGCCCCGCGGCGCTTCAGAGGCGAAAGCAGCATCAACCTGTCTCGAGCTTCCACTTTGCCCTTCATGGCGCAAGAGCTGTCGTGGCAGTGTCCTGACTATTGACTCACGACACGACTTTAAACGAAGTGGAGACTCACCATGCTGAACATCTGCCGGTGTCTGGCCTTGTCTTGCCAAGTTTATTCTTTGCTTGCCTTCCAGTCTTACGCTCGCAGAATGTATCAATTCACCTTCACGTTGAACCCTTGTTGGGTTGCCATACTGTTTCCTAATTACTATGTAAACTGATGCAGAGCGGACGAAAGCCAAGGGGACGGAAGAGGCAGCAGTGTCTTGCAACTACGAGCTGATGCTGGCATGAATGATGCACTTTTCCTTGCTTGCTGTGTTGTGAACTCGTAGGCCAGCGACTATCCAAATAGCTGCTGATGGAGACTGAGTTCGCATGCATTGTCATGAAACCTAAGTCTGCGCTGAAAGACGTATGGCAAAGCGTGTTCCTCGCGGCCTCAAGGCGGGGGCGAGGGGGTGGCGGGGGGGCTCATCGAGACAGCTGCCTCCCCCCCACCCCTCCTCCCCGCTGACGCTTAGATCCCGAATAGACCAGGAGAAAGGCCCCCCTAAACCCTCGTTTGGCGCAAAACCAAATCTGTAAATCAGATACCTTTCGTGACACGGTTACACACATATGTTCGTAGGTATATTGCTTTTGTAAAGCAACCTGATGGAGCGACAGGGTGCTGTACTCCGTAGCGATGCAAGGCTCTACTGGAGTTTCAGTCCTCATCTTGACTGCAGCATCCTGCGGCTCAGAAGCCAACCATAGTCGGAGCCAGCTGTGGCACTGCGTCGCGCTAATGCCAAGGACCAGAATGCATGCATAGGTGGAAAGGCGCTGGCATCTGAGACAGGGCGGAGATCGCCTCTTCACAGGCGCACTGGCCAGCATCATGGGACCACGCTGTGAAGCATGCTGCTCACGATCGAGCCGTGGCAGCTGCGTTTCAGGTAGAGCTTGCGAGAGGTTTAATTAGGGCGAGTGATTTGCTCACTCACCACTCGCCCTGCATACATGCTAAAGCCCAGCCTCACGCAAGGTAGCTGAACGCACCTGTGATCCGAAGCCTGTCAAAGCAGCCTCACCCATTGCACACGACACAGCCCCAGGAATGCCACGAATGCCAGATCACACAGCGACTTGAGGACACAAGTGAAGTCACAAGCTTGGCCCGGCACACTGCATCGTTGCACAGCCTGCATTGCAGCGACAGAAACGAAAACTGAAAACTAAGTCGGGGAAGCTACAATAAACTCGAAGGGCGCGCCGAATCATGCTTTCCAGTAGCGTGTTAGTTAGCAGCACTCCATGAGATCCCCATCATGGATTTCGAACCGTGCTTGAAGCGCTGCTGTCTTGAACGGGCTCGATTCCACGACGAAGGACAACTGGGGCCGTTTATGCAGCAGCAGTGCTGGGCCAAATTGCTCACAGATTTGCGTTTGCGTGGGGTCAGCATGGGCCACTCAACCAACTTCCCTGAAGCTTCGGGAAGGAACAGTTCGGCCAGTGTTGCTGCATATAGCTGACGCGGGTCTGGTATGCAGGTGGCACCACGCACTCGCGTCAAGATGTTGGCGGATTGTGTGGACAGACAGCCAAAAACTGGCGGGATCTCACTCTGCAGAATGCCATGTCTCCAGCCTGCTCAACCGACGGACAACCGTGAAGTGATTTCACCAGGTCTTCAGCCCATTGCCGAACCAAAGCCTCCAACACGGCTGCAAGTGTCACAGCCTCTCCCAAGATGCCGCGCTGCCTCATCCTTGTTCAGGCCGCCCTCATTGGAAGAGGCGGCCTGTTTTCACGTTTGAGAGGCAAGTGCAGTCTCTCATCTCGGACCTGGGATTCGCACTGCGCCACTTGGACCTTCGATCATGCCACGAAGCCGCTTCAGTGCGGGCTGATCCTTCAGCAACAATAGTGAACACACAATGCGACCTTGTCTGAATATGCGGAACGGCCTGTACATCATCAGGCATCCGACGATACTCTGCTTCTTCAATCGCGGCTGCTGCCGCTTCCACAAAGGCGGCATCGCAAGCAGAAGCCTCCGACCGAATTGATGTGGATGAAACGAGTGCTCTGGCTTGATTCGATTGGTCAAGACCTCCTGTGCGGCGGTCAGTGCATGCTCCTCCGGCCTTGGTTGAAGTAGCATGCAACGGCATCAGTTGACCGTACGACATCAGACACAGACCCTAATGTTAACCTCACAATTTCTTTTCGGAACCGTGGACGGGATTATTATTGAGTTCCAGGGATCGGGTTTCATGATTAAGGGGGGGGTTATAATTATGAGGTCAACGTCAAATTTGAACAGATCGAGTGGCATACGGCCCTGTTTAATTTCATTAATTATGAATGCCTGCACGATTCTCTGTAAGCTAACCTCGCGAGGAAAGCTTGCGCTCGGTAGAACACACCTGACATGGAAGCAGCAAACCTTCAGGCCAAGACCTAAGCTAGCCAGTATCTAGCCGCTCCTTTTCATGGCCGATACCATGCAAGCAACTGTCCTTAGCGCGAAAGGTGGACCAACTGAGGCATAAACCCCGCCATGAAGACATCATGCCGAGTGCGCTTGAAAAGGGGTTCAAGTAGCTCCTGCAGCGACAAGCAATCTTGGAGGGCCTCGCCCTGCACTTGCAAAACAGCATCGAGGACTGCAGCTGCCACCTCTGTCGTCACTGGCCTTTTGCAGCTTAAGAGCATCACCTGAGCAAGGCAAGAAGCACAAGTGAGCGTGACTGCCCAATTGATGGCATGCTCTGAGGACGAGCCACCTCAAAACCTGCAAAACTCTCTGTGTGATGAAGCTATATGCTCCGTACCAAGGCCGCACAAGTCGATGCGGAAGGAAACACGCGCACGCTTGCTTGCGGTTTCGCATTGCTTCGACGCGCTTGAGACTTTAGAGTCCATCTCTCCATTCATCCTTGAGCTCATCACAATGTAGTCTTGATTCAGCCTCGCCAGGCTCTCAATGCCAACTCAATGGCGGCTCAAAGCTTCCTTGAGTCCTTGAACTCATGCAGTTTCAAACCGTCCAGCTTGTCCTGGCTAAGTCTTTCGAGGCTGCATAAGTGTAGCATACTGTCGCCAGAATCTGCATCTTGATCTTCTCACGAGGTCGCGCTGCATTGCCCACGCTTTCCTCCCGATCATGGATCTGCCCGTTTCGCTTCACCATGGGGTTCAACTGTTGAAAACTGAGCACTTGGATTCGGCCAGATGCTGTTGACAAGTGTTTGAATAACGCAACCTTCTCGAGCAGCGCCTCATGACTGAATACTGGCCAATTGCGCTGATCCAGCTGACGCAATTATTGTAGAACTCTCACTGTAGGTCTGCTTCGAAAGCTCCACGAATGACAAGTTCTTGCAACATCCTCCCCGAGTCTGTGAAAGACGAGCCAAGTCGCCCAAAACTTAGGAGCGAAGGAATCAACTGAGGTCACGGCGCCGGCGAAGCGATCAGCGAATGATCGCTTGCCCTATCCCACCGTTTCCGGGAAGCGTCTACAGTTTGATCCCAATGTCGCAAATCAACACGAGGCCTACAAGCCTTCCACTATCCTTACAGCTGCTCTGTCCCCACTCCATGAGAGTCCTGCATGCTACACTCAGGGACACTACCGCTGAGATTCATTGAGTCTTGCTTCATCTTGTTTCAGGTCGTCCAGCAGAAAGCAAGAAATTCACCTGATCTTTTCACCCACGTTACCATACGCACCTGGACGAACGCCAGCCAACAGCTTGAAAGTACTTTGCTTTGTGAAGTGCTGCAATCACTGCAATCGGCTTTGCGCAAGAGTCGCGAGACGCGGCACACGCGATGCCGAAGACCCACTGGTCCCAAACACGTCCAACATCCGCTCGGAAACCTCCACATGTCTTTGCAACACGCCTCAACATCCCAAAGCATTGGACATGCAAATGCCGCAGGATTTCTGCACTGTGTAGCCGATCATTGATGGGTCACATGGAGCCTTGATCTGAATATCGAACTTGGACACTTTCAATGTTGCTGCGAACTTCGGCAGGCCAGAGCCTCCGATAGCATTGGATTGGCATATCTTTACATTTGCCTTCCACTGAATCTGGCTTTCCTTTGCATACCGTGTGTAAGCCACCCAGTTCTATTCTGCAGGGACAGACTCGCAGCTACTTCCTTCATCACGGCAGAGTAATTTCGGCACGACCTCGCACAAAGCTTTCCATAATTTTCGATGCGCACACTTTTCCGATGCCGAGCTGTTTCTTCAAATGTTCTTCGATCTGGCCGGCTGACAGTAGGGATACTGAAAACGAAGTAAATGCTGAGCCAAAAACTGGAAGTCTCCTCGAAACTTGCTTCTGGGCACATCTGGCACTGTTGTCAGCTGGATCAGTCTGAAATCCGCGTCTTCGACGCCGAGTGAAAGTTGTTCGCTGCTACACGAGCTCGCCTGAGTGAATCTTACGTATCGGCCGGAAGCCTCCTACTTAGCTGTATGAACAAAAATAACAATGCCGTCTGATTCGTGGGAGAACATCGGCAAATGCTACCCAGCTCAATGCAATCAGTACTGCATCATTCCGGCGCCCATCCTACCAAGCTTGTGGCCGGTCTGCACAATCGCATTTGGGACAAGCACGTGCCTCCGACATTCTGCCAGCAACGCCTCCAAGTCTTCTACCTGGCAGCAACGTCGGCATTCATCCAGAGATGCAGTTATGAGAAACAAACACCGCCTGGCTGCCATCTGTGCCAGCGCCTGCAACACATCTATACTAAGTTTGCACACGGCTCTGGGGTGTTGCTTTTGGTTTGCAGCCACATCACGACATGTTCTTGCACCTGGATCTACATCGGCACCAACAAAGGATGCCTGGTGCAGCAAGGGAAATCTGTTTCATACGAAAAGCTGCACAGGGGGCGCAACGTGTTCTTTACGTTGTCGTTGCTTCCCCCCCCCCCCCCCCCCCCCGCTTCTTTCCCTTCCTTCCGTCCTCAACAGATCTCAACAGCTTGCTCTCTTGTGCTCTTCGTTGTTCATTACGTGTGGCTTCCTTCCAACTTCTATGATATGATCAGAGAGCGACCACCTCTGCCACCAGCATGAGGGAAACCATTTACACAACATCCTCGCAGTCAGAACCGTCCACGACAGGAAATGATGGCTTAAAGACACGCAAGTTGCCCGACGATCATTCAGAGCATTTGGGTGTGATGTGAGCTCCCCATGTCCATTCACATCGCACCTCGCTCTTTGCTGCACCATTTGAGAGCTTTCAAGGCTTATGCCACGTAACATGCTTCCCGGGTCACCCTAAGTTTTACAGAATGTAGGTCGGCATTGCTGTAGCACGGAAACCGAAGCATCAAAGGAGATACAGCCATCACTGACATCTCAGCGCCTCGAGCTCTGCAGGCACCTCCGTACACAGGTTCACCGGGTCTCCGCAACGTGATCAAAACTTACACATACACTTGAAAACTGGCCTCCTCTTGCGCACTTTGGCCTCAGGGTACATCTGCTGCTTGCCATGCTATCAGCAGAATGTGCAGATCGTTGAGCTTTCGGCACAAAATCTTAGCCTCCGGAATCTTGCGGAGACTGACCTGGTACCCCGTCTGACCAAATTACCAAATTTCTGCTCTTCAACAGTTGCCTGTGCACGGGGTCTCATCAGTGTCGGCAGTTCCATTCTCTCCAATTCCGACTCGCCCACACTCCTGCATTTCCAGCAAATGTGCATTCACTGCATTGTCCTGAACGTTCCCTTTGAGGCAATCCTCTCTCGTCTTTGGAGGCCTAGGGCCTAGGATACCGTAGCATATAAGCCGAACCTGCACAAGGGAGCTCCTGAAAATAAACCAAGGAATATGCCGGTGCGCTACGATGTTATGTCGCGAGGAACCCACAATCCGGCATCGCAAGTAGCCCCGTCGGTCGTCCGATTGCTGAGTCATGACTTGCTGACAGAAACGATGGCCTCCGAGAAGACGTTGGCATCACTCGAGTGGTTCCTTAAGCACATGCAACACAAATCATCCCGTGACGAAAACCGAAACGACACGGCCTTGAGTGCTCGATTGAACCGCGATCTCTTCGTGGGGCTGGCTCGCGTCGTCCTATAGCTCTGTTCCGTGATGGACACCATGCCGCATACACAAAACAAGTGGTCTCGTCAGCATCTTGAAGGATCCAGTTGGGAGAATTGTCCTCAGAGTCCTGACGCTTTGGATGCTTAGCTTTGCGGCTCCTTTCTGAAAGTGACATCCCCGGCTCCGCCTCGCGATGCGAGTCGTGCTGCCAGGAGTTGAGGCTTCCCAGGCCTAAGCTCTGGATGGTGTGGGACGGGCCCTGTTTCCTGTACGTGTACGGGAGTCACGCATTCGTTGCATGTTTGCGCATAGGACTAGGCATCAGCACGCCAGAATCGTGACGGTTTTTGAGGCCGCAGCAAGTTTCCAATTCACCGCCTGGAAATCATCTCAATCAATGTTGCAACCCTTTACCGCAAGCGGCAACAGCTGCCGATGTCACAACTTCTATGAGAACCACAACTTTGACAACGGGAAATCTGGTTGCACCCTAGCGGGTTGGTTCGGCGTACGGTTCAGGTCAGCACTCGCTGAGACGTATTGGATATGGCGGTTGAGAATTCAACTTTATCTTCGGGAGATTATGACAACTGTAACCACAAGCTTGAGATTGGAAATGGGACTCGGCTTGAGTTGAAATCGCGCAGGCTGTCAGCTACCCTCGAATGTTGGTTGGGCCTGCTTGGAGGATGAGAGTCCAACCAAAAGCGGCCCCAGGAACTTGCAGCCCCCCACGTCATTCAAAACACCCTGCCCCCTCCAACCCCCCCCTTTCTGCAGAGCCACCCGTCCCCCCAAAACCCTAAATTCCCATCCTGCATCCCAGCAGACAGATCTCAAGCTGAACCCTACACCCGAAGACACGACGCCTGTCGAAGTGTACGCAGGAGAGTGGTTCGTCTTTGCTTGTTGCGATGTTGGAGATTGTTCCTTCTCTCCTCGAGTGTCCGCCAAGACTAGTCTTGGAATTCTTGTCCCCAGAGAGGCCTGAAGCCAGAGTTTCAAGAAAAGGCAAATGATAGCAAAAGAGAGGCAACTGAAAGGCAGACCGATAACTACTGGGAAGGCAAACGCACGGCGGCAAGCAAAGGCAGACAAAAACGACCACCACTGCCACCACCACTATAGCAGCATCATCATCAGCAGCAGCATCATCACCACCATCAGCTTTAGCAAATGGAACAACAACGTATCATCATCATCATCATCATTATCATCATCATCATCGTCATCATGATCATCATCATCATCATCACCATCAGCACCACGACCACCACCACCAGCAAAAACACACCACCACCGCCACCACCGCCACCACCACCACCACCACCACCAGCAACTACGCGGCATCATGATGATAATCCTCATCATCATCATCATCAGGATCATTATCATCATCACCACCGTCACCGTCAGCAACAGCAACAACAAGGTATCATCGTCAGCATCATCGGCAGCAGGAGTATCACCATCACCGTCAGCGTGAGCAACAAGAACAAGAACAACAACAACAACAAGAAGGTGCAACCGTACACTGGGTCCCCGTTGCCGATTTGGTTGCCCCCGGTGCGATCGTAGTCTGGGTCCCCATTCACGCATGTTATGCTTGCAGGTTGCCGTTTTAAGTAGGCGTTTGCCACAGCTGCCATGCCGGCTGCATTTGCTCAATTAAAGGCATTTGCCACAGCCGCCAGCTTCGACGGCCTTCTGCGCGCGCGCACACCCCGCATGTGCGCGCACCGCCCCTGAGCGCACTTAACCTCCCTGCATGCACGCACACCCCGCGTGCGTGCGCGCACCGCCACTGCGCACTTACGCACACCCTGTGCGCGCGCACGCACGCACGCACACCACATTCGCATGCGCGCGAGCGCGCGCGTGCACCGCCCCTGCGCGCACGCACACCCCGCGCGCGCACACCCCGCGTGCGCGCGAAACGTGGGAAGCGATTAATAAACATGTTACATGGCTGGCGCGTGGGGTCTGCGCTCGAAGGTGTGGCGAGGACTGCATGCGCGCGCAGGGCCGATTATTGCGCGCGCAGTGACAAGGGGGGGTGGGGTAGGAGGGGGGGTTGAGGGTGGGGTGGGGGGTTGGGGGTGGGGGGGGGGGCAACCAATAGGCAATGGGGACCCAGTGTACGGTTCCACCAACAACAACAA